GTCTTCATCAACAACCTGGAAGATGGCATAGAGTGCACCCTCAGCAAGTTTGCAGATGACATCAAGCTGGGGGGAGTAGTAGATATGCTGGAGGGTAGGGCTAGGATTCGAAGTGACCTAGACAAATTGGAGGATTGGGCTAAAAAGAATCTCATGAGTTTCAACAAGGACAAGTGCAAAGTCCTGTACTTAAGACAGAACAAACCCATGCACCAATACAAGTTAGGGGATGACTGGCTGAGTAGCAGTTCTGCAGAAAAGGACCTGGAGGTTACAGTGGACAATAAGCTGAATATGAGTCAGCAGTGTGCCCTTGTTGCCAAGAAGGCTAATGGCATACTGGGCTGCATTGGTAGGTGTGTTGCCAGTAGGTCAAGGGAAGTTATTATTCCGCTCTATTCAGCACTGGTGAGGCCACATCTGGAGTACTGAGTTCAGTTTTGGGCCCCCCACTACAAAAAGGATGTGGACAAATTGGAGAGAGCCCAGCAGAGGGCAACAAAAATGGTCCTGGGGCTGGGGAACATGACTTAAGAGAGAAGACTGAGGGAACTGAGCTAATTTTGTCTAGAGAAGAGGAGACTGAGAGGACACTTAATAAAGTCTCCAACTACCTGACGGGGGGTTCGAAAGAGGATGGAACTGGACTGTTCACAGTGGTGGTAGATGACAAAACAAGGAGCAACAGTCTCAAGTTGCAGCAAGGGAAGTTTAGGTTAGATATCAGGAAGAATTTTCTCACTAGAAGAGTAGTAAAGCACTGGAACAGGTTACCCAGAGAGGTGGTAGAAGCTCCATCCTTGGGGGTTTTCAAAACCCAGCTAGACAAAGCTTTGGCTGGGATGATCTAGTTGGGGATGGTCCTGCTTTGAACGGGGTTGGACTAGATGACCTCCTGAGGTCCCTTCCAACCCTAACTTTCTATAATTCTATGATAATTATTTTGGCTGGAGGGCCGCTTAATGAGTTTTGGTGAGCTGTCGAGTGCCACAAACATTGCCCTGCCCCTTGACAGGTGCCCCACCCCCTGGTCACCATCTTGGGACCAGAAGTCCCACCCTCACCCCTGACGTTTGCCAGGAGAAGTCCCTCCCATTTCCCCAAGAAGTACTCCTTTTGGGAGGGTTTTGCCATCTTGGAACCAGAAAAAAACCAAAACATACATTAAAAGCCAAACACAGACTATAACGTATTTTAATTTTATTAGAAAAAATATGTTTATCATCATTTGTGTTTGCATAGTGTATATAGAGGTGATTGCATAATAGTTACAAATAGTTACAAGAGTCTTACTCTTGTATGTTGTGTGTGAGGGAGCATGTGGGGTGCGGTAGGAGTTGGGTCTGTGTGTATGGTGTATGGTGGGGGGTGTGCATGGGGGGGGTTTGTGAGAGGATCTGGCTGTGTAGGTTATGCTGAGGGGGTGTGGGTAGTTGTGGGGGGTTATGGGGAAAAGGTATGGGTGTGTGGGGTTTGTGGGGTGTGAGGGAGGGTAGGGGGTGTGGGGAAATGGGAACCCCCCAAAACTGACCCCTATTGTACAGCCTCTGCCAGCGGTGCCAGCAGCAGCAGCAGTTTGGGGCCCTCAGGATGCTCGTGTCCTGTGCAGGCGCTGCTGCCCAGCTCTGGCCAGAGCTGCACATGGCAGTAAGAAATGCAGCTTGCCTGGCCTGCCTCAGTTGCATGGGCTACCCATGGTGAACGTGTAGCTCCCAGCAGTTGTGCACTTGTGCGCCACCAGGAGAAGCCCCATGTGATGGAGCTGGCTGCCTTCCCCACTCCCTGCCACCAAGGAAGCAGGGGGCAGAGCTCCTCGCCACTTCTGGTGGAGTCCAAGCAGCTGTACATGGTGGAAGGGAGTGGGGAAGGCAGCCGGTTCCGTTGTGTGGGCTACCCCCTGGGGGTGCACAAGTGCCAGGAGCTGTACGAGGGCCATGGGGAGCTGCATGCAATAGAGATGGGCTGGCTTGGCTGCGGTCCTTACCGCCATGTGCAGCTCTGGCCAAAGCCATGCACTTATGGGCAGCAGTGCCTGCACAGGCCACAAACACTCTGAGGGCCCCCACCTGCTGCTGCTGCTGGCAGGACTATACACAATGTGCGGGAGTGCGTGGGGGGTCCTCACACCCTCCCACCCTCACCCTCCCTCCCACCCACACCCTGTCCACCTGTGCTCCATGCTCCCACTGACCCCCTGGGCATGGGCTCTGAATTCCCCCTAGCCCCATGTTCCCTGTCCCTGCCGAGCTGCAGCTCTTCCTCTCTCCCCTTCCCCACCCAAGATGCTTCCCTACCTGCTTCCTGTTGTAGCAGGGAGATGAGAAGGAGCTGCTGGATGCTGGGGAAGCTGAGAAGATCCCTTGGTGGCTGAAGCAGTGGCAGCAGCAGTCCCACCCAGAAGCTCTGTGCTGGCTGGGCCAGGGCCCTTCTGTGCACGAGGGTGGGAGTGAGACACATAGGCTGGACAGGGTATAATTACCCAAAGGCCAGATGAAATTGCCTGGTGGGTTGGACCCAGACCTTGGATCATATTTTGCCCACTTTTGCTATAGTAGGCAAACAAGCCCTGAGACCTGAAGCGATGTGTGTTCCCTCTCACTGGCTATCTAGTATAGTGCAGAAAGTTAAACAGAGAGGTGGAGGCTCAGGAACAGGGTGGATATTACAGCAGCTGTGAAGTCCCCAGAGTGCCAGCCCCAAGTTACACTAGAGGAGGTACAAGCCCTTAATATCTATATGAGGGAGCACCTGAAGGAGATCACAGCACAAATGCACTTGGATTTTATTCCAGCATACCAGGACCACTTCTAGGGACATTTCTAGGCTGTCATTAACACTTAAGTGGGCTAGAGGGGGTGGGTATGGGGCACTGAACCCCTAAAAAGGGAATAGTAGAAGCTCTACCACTAGGCTGTTCACCAGGATTGTTGACCTCTACAATGAGGATGCACTGATCCCACAAGTTGCAAAGCACCTGCAGGTGAGAGCTACCATGTGAACTGCAAGAGTGGAGAGAGGTTGGCCAATCTAGAGATACATCAGCAGGAACTAAGTGGCACAGTATGAAATTTGAGCTAAAGTCCATCATGGTACAAAAATTGTCACAGGTGACACCTGCCCACAAAGGATCCTAAAGTGGCATCAGGCCACCTGCACTCTGCAATGCAATGTTTCTTTTGTATACCTTCAACACCCTCCTTCAGTCACCCAACATACTCTCCCAGTCTGAACCCTTTTTCCCTCCCCCTTTCCACATCCAGGAGAACAGATGTCTCATGTGCCTCCGGTGTCCAAACAGTAGTCCAAATCCAGAAGCTGTCTTGTCCAAGGACTTTTTGCATGGGATATAAAACAATCTCACTAGGAAAAAAGGAAAATTCCTTTCACTGTTCAGATGCTGCAGCCTCCTTCTTCTCCTCTCAGGAAGAACAACCTGGACCACTCCACCATCACTGAAAGGTGGCTTCATCCACCCCTGCCCTTGCTATCTCCCTGAGTAAACTTCATCAGAGCTTGGAGGACCCTGAGCCTGACTCATAGGACCAACATATTAGTAGCAAGTCCTCAATGTCCCCATGAGGCTGATGACCATTTGTGGGACCCTTGGGATTGATGCCCAGTCTCCTGGGACCCTTGGGGTTCAATGTTTCTCACTCAACTCTTTGCCATGGAACATCCAAGGCCAGGCCATTACTCCCTCCAGAAGACCTCTACCTATCATACGTCCTGCACCCGACCCCATTTCCAGCAATGTGAGCCATAGCCACCAAGCCTCAGACACAGACACAGTAGCCCTCAGTACCCAGAATGCAGCCATGGCTCAGGCCACTGAAATTCTGGAGAGGGAAGCAAGGTGGGTTCTGTCTACTTTTGTGACCTGTGTTTTGCAGACCCTGAACCATACGTGACAGCGAAGAGCATCAGCACAGACAAGACTAGACCACTAAATACCCCAGGGCATCACTAGATTGTAGAGCTGATAACAGTGCCACTAATGGTAACAGTTTATGCATCTGCATATGAGGCTGTGCACATGGCTTCCCAGCTGTGAGGGAACTCTCCATTTTGGAATTATCTGCAAAAACAACATTGGTTCCACACAGGAGTCATGCCTGGAATCCAGGAATTTGGCAACATCAGTGAACTCCAGGTGGGCACTGCAGACCACCATTGTGTTCATGGTATGTCCTGTTCCTGTTCATGAGCTCACAGGTCTCTGCTATGGGCTTGCAAATACTGACATAAATATAGTGTACTGCCCTCTAGACAGGGGCAAAGTTCATGATCTACTGAAACTCCAACATAATCATCTTTGAAGCATCAGGGTCAGTAGAAAAAGAGATGTATTCTGCTATGACAAGAATTAGCGCATTCAGGAATTCTCCAAGGACCCTGGACAATGGCTCAACGTCCATGGTATGACCCACAGTTTGTTAGAAAGACCATAGGCTGCTTACAGATGTGGAAACCACCCCCCAGAACTTTACTGAAAACTCAGTGGCCCCCTGTGCCAAGTGCAGCGCATGCCCAGAAGAGGCATTGTGTTAATGTAACCCAGCTAGCCCAAAATCTGTATAGATTGCACACTTCAGCTTTACAGACACTGGGAAGCTGGGTCAAACTGATGCACTTCCTTTTCTGGCAAAGTACTGTTTTTTTCACATCTGTCAGCAGCCACAATGTCCAAAGGCAGCAATGACCTTCTCCAAGAGAGAGACTATAATCTTGCTAAAATGAATATCCTCCAGATTATGCTGAAGCACATTGCAGGTGACAGAAAACCACAGGCCCGAAACGTTATGACTGGAAAATTATAACAAATGTATACATTTTCCATATATCAAATCTAATTATTGGAGGGGTCATCTTATAAGCAGGGTTGTCTTGTAGTTGAGTAAATATGATAGCATGTGCAAGAAGCTACCTGTAAATTCAGCATAAACAAACAAGGAAAGAGGAAGGAAAAAACTATTCACTTTTATATATAATAAACAGCTTACCTGTTTTGAAAATCTGTAAGTTCGTTGTTAATTTTTTCAATGTCTAAGTCACTCCAAAGTATTTCATAGTATCCATTGATTTTATCAATAACTGAATTGTAGAGACCATAAAGTTTCTGAAGCAATGTAAGATCACGTCTTATTTTTTGCAATTCTGGATATTCTGTTTCAAATTTTAAGAGAGGCAAGTTGTGATTATTGATCAGGTATCAAGATAGTTATGTAAATTATAATCCATTCTAAAATGAAGATTTAATAAACACACGTCAGTTTTTGCCACTTAAATTGAGTAGCATCTTACTCCTCACATAGTCCCTTAAACAGTCACCCTGAGAAAGACTGGCCTATAGTATAGTAATACCTTAGCTTTCATTCAACATGTGACTACTTATTTATATAGTAAATATAACCATATTACGTGGGTAATACTCACCCCTATTTCTATTTCATCCACTAGTCATCTAGGACTAACTCCTATTTCACTTTGTGTGTTTAAATGGCATGTAGACAGATATACAACTATTGTTTCTGGCATCTAGACACAGTCTGCAATTCAGCTGCATGCCCAAACATGCTTAGCAAAATAGAATTACCTTGGTAGATAGGTAAGGTTGGTAAGTCCCACAGTAGTAGTTGTTAGCAAGCATTAGCAAGCCTTCTCACCTTTTGGTCCAGTAGCTTAGTAGATAGAGCTCTTGCCTAGGGAGCAGAACTGGTTTTCAGACCCCTTCATTAAGTGTGAGATTAAACCTGTATTTCCTACTTTCCAGCATCAAGGGGAGGAAGGTGGAGATCTAGGCCAAGGCTGTCCATCTGGCAGTCCAGAGGCCACAAGCAACCTGTAAGGGGTCAATGTGTGGCCCAGGGCTCCTGTCTGGCTGCTGCTACCACCAGGGTCTCTAGGCTCTTCCTCCCTCTGTCAGCTTTTGCTTTTTCCCATTTTTCCTCAGCACCAGGATAATCTGTGGAGCAGGGCAGCAAGGGAGCTAAGTTTGGAGCTACCTGCGTGCATAGTGAGGGTGGCGGGGCACCACCTGCATGTGCGGTACAATGGCCACCCACATGTGGTGCAGTGGGAGGGAGCACACAGTCTGGGGGCCCATAGCTTGCACTACATGGCAGACAGCCCCTAGTCACTAAGAAGTTGGACAGCCCTAGGCTAGGCACTACCCAGACTGCCCTCAAGCTTTCCTCTTGAGGTTAGTTCCCTGGGCAGTCAAGAAAGGGAGAAATACTGGACTAGGGAAAACAAGTCAAAAGGTTAGAGGCTCAGTGAAATGGAGGCAGTCATGCCAGGGAGGTGGCTCTGGGTTTTAACGCAGGCCACTGCTCATGATGGGGCAGGAACTTCTCCAGTGCCTCATCCATTTACTGAATAGATTGAATTTTATTAGTAGATGTTTAAGATTGTGAATCCAAAAAGATGACAAAGCCAGTAGGGAAATACAAATCACCCAAGCGAGGAACTAACATTAGAGGGATGGGGATGGGGATGGGGAAGGGAACGCAACTAGGTCACAGAAAATACAATGTTAGCCAACTAAGCCCGGAGGTGGGGGATGGGGTAGTAAATGCATTTAGATGCCTCTAGAGACACATCCACAGTGATGCAGGTAGTGCGTAGTTCTCCGTTTACTCCAGTGGGGAATTTTAACCTGTGGTAACATACATTCAGCTACTTGGGATTCTACTTAAGGCTCCGCATATACATAGATTCATAGATGTTAGGGTCAGAAGGGACCTCAATAGATCATCGAGTCCGACCCCCTGCATAGGCAGGAAAGAGT